TTGTGTCTGGCCAACAGCCGATGGATTACATTACTGTACATGGGATAAGGTGTGTGTGTGTGTGGAGAGTATATATAGATAAAATAGTCTGAATTTGTTTGGGCGCGCATACGATAATTAGGAGCAGCAACAACAAATGATGTGGATTTTTTTCTAAACGTCCTGAACCGTGATCTTGTTACAAACACAGCGATAGGATAGCGGCGCCGGAAACAAACGCCACGGGGTCATTCAGCAGTCAGTCCTTGACTTATGACATTCAATATCGCCTCCCTGAATTCCCTTCCGCACTTTTTAAGTTATTCACAATTAGTACAAGCCATTTTACAGGTCCCCTGTGTTCACATAGGAGGGCAGGGAGAAGGGCCAGCCTGCTGACAAGAAGTAGCGCTCGCTCTGACCATATTTCCCCAAAGCAACGCTTGCCCATTCTGACTAATTATGTATTCATTACATTGCGTTTCCTAAGTGATGAGCGGAATACAAAAATACAATAAAGGGGGGAGAAAAAAAGGAAAAAAAGTCAATTTCTTCCCGCCGCCCTTCCTCACTCACTTCCCGCTGTCAGCAGGAAGGCGGGCGAGGGCAGGTGTGGAGGAGAGATAGCCAGAAGTCTAGTGATTAAGACGTAGGCTGCTTAGCCTCGCCGCCCCCCGGGTGGGGGGGGGGGAGAAATCTGACGCACAATTGGTTTGTTGAACTGCTCTTCTGCCTCGCGCTCACTCAGAACTTCACATGTAAATCCTCTGTGATATGATGAAGCATAATTATGACCATCCACACGTTTTAGCTTAGAAGACAGGTAGTGTATAGATATAGACACACACACACACACACACACACACACGCACACACACACACACAATAGTAGAGGCCTCAAAGTGACTTATCTGCCGCTTGTCTAATCGGTGTTTACATGCCTGCCTCTTTCTCTGCATTTCTAGCCCAGTTTTGGCTTTGTCCTCTCTCTCACTCTCCAAATTCAGAAGTCCTTACATAACTAGGCCATTAGAGTCACCAGAGCTCCAAGCGCTCAAATGTCAAACGGGGGGGGGAAAGTGGAGGACTGAGGCTGGTTTTTACGTAGCAGAGGATGGATAGAAACTAAGTGTGAGCGGATAACAGCAAGGGTAAGGACACGGAGGAGGACGTGTGACCCTCCCCACGGGGAGCCAGCAGGGCCTCACCCCTCGGGGAGACCGAAGGGTTGTCCAACTGCGGCGGGATCGGCGGCGTCATGTCGGGATGGTCGGCGCAGTTCCAAAAACCTCAGAAAAACCGAAAGGTCTGCAAAGATCTGAGCCAGGAGCCCCCCTGCTAGCTAAACCGCTCAGGAGGTCAAACACACAGCAACGAGAAGGTCGGAGGACTTGTGGGCCCCCAATCAGCCAGTTCCTGGTCCAATGTATGCAAGTTTCACACTACTGACGTTTCGTTTAGCAAGACCACTACTACCCTTCTGACCGCACCACAATAAGACCACTTCACTAGAAGGTTGCTTACATACACCTAGACATTTCCACCAGGCGTAACCCAAACACATTTTTTGAATCATCCTTGATACCGACTTGGCTGGCCATGTATTCTCACCTGCCAGCGAAAGTGGCGATCTCTGAAACTTAAATGAGACAGGCTTGTCCTCGGCCGGTAGTTACCTACAAGCAACCTTCAAGGATGCAAAAAAACAAAAAGTAAAGGGAGGTTCCAACAGCCGGCGCTGTCGCTAGTGTGCTCCACCAGGCGCTAGGGACGAGCTGAAGTGGACTGTGACGGGCTAGCCATGTGTCTAATCACCCAGTCAGGCCTTATTGTCCTACGCCCGGCCAGCAGATCGTGCCAAGAAATGTCAGCGGCCAGCTGACCATTTCATTCGACATGGAAATGGTAAGGAGAGATGCGGTGGAGGAGCGTGACCCCCTTACTCAGAGGTAAAAAAAAAACAACTGTTTGTACCGTGATCGACCTCGTGTTTACAGAAAGGACCGCTGAAAATAGGTAATCACACACCTAATTCGATCCAATGCATTAGTGCGTCTAAGTAGCATCGCCTGGATGTTCAGTTTGAAGGCCTCCAACATATTACAAAATCAGGCATAGGTATTTATTAAAAAGGTAAACAAATTAAACGTGATAAGACATTTCACCTTCGCTATATAAGGCGGTTTATTACAGTCGTGCGTTTGGTAAAACTATTCCTGAATTGGTTTTCCTCACTTCTAAATTGCTGTTTCTCACAAGATATCTGCATGGAATTGGACCAAAAACTATCAGGAGATCTTCGGTAGATTGGTTCTCTCCCATCCGTTAACTGCATCGCAAACATTGTGGTGGGACGTTTTTTTGAAAAATATTGCAATAACGTGTGAAAATTAATCAGCAGAACATAATTAATGAAGTCGCAACAAGGACAATCAAACATTTCACAAACTGCCGTGACAGGGGAAAAAAAGAAAAAGTTGGCAGAGAAAGATGATTGGGTCAAATAAATGGCAGTTTGCACACACAAACGCGCACACACACACACACAGGTACATGAACAAAACACATACGCTCACGCGTTTCCGCCATCACGATTGGACAAATGAGGCTCGCTATTCCCCAGACCACTTATAGTGAATAACTTCATTTACCACATACTGCCAACCTAATGGAAAGGAAATTTGCTTGCCACTGACACCAGCACACGGTGAATGTTATTGTTGGATTGCTACACACGGCTGTAATGATAACAAATGGGCCCACTGGGGAATATCAATAATATACGAAGGCTAGGGGACGAATCACGGGGCTGATGGACAAGCAGCCATAATGACACACATTAAACACACACTGGAACACACACAGCACAAATCACATTAAACACACAGCACAAATCACACATTAAACACACACGGGCCACAGCACAAATCCCAAACATTAATCACACATTAAAACACACATTGGACCACACACACACACACAGCACAAACCACCACCCAATTTGCGCATCATAACACCTCAAAGTTACACGAAAAGTGTAAAACTCGAAGGGAAGCGCGAGCTTTTTAGCCATTTGCTAATTTGCTAGACATTCGCTCGTTAGCTACACCTGTGTCTGCATAAGGAAACCTCCAGAAGACGAAGAAGGAAAAAAAATAAAACTAAACTACCGTCTAAATGTTACAATTACGTCTTGCTTATTAACACGTATTTACGCGTGTGTGGGGGGGGGGATTTAATAATACTGGCATTTTCACACTGCGAGATGATGAGCCCTTCACACACACCCAGTGATTACCATTAGCGCGGCAACACTCCCGGTGAATAGCCGCCGATTGGGTGGCGGCGGCGACGCCCAACGCCGGTGCCTTGCGTCTCGCGGCAGACTCACGCGCCATCAGGACGAACGGCGCCGCTACGAACTAGCCCCCGTAAGGAAGGTATGCCTCTGAATAAATTACCTCAAGTGTGGGGAACCGAGACCGAGACCTTAACAAATGTGTTGATTTGAAAAAGCCACACCAAAAAAAAAAACTGGGTTGGGTTCCAGGGGCCCCAGTGTCTTGGCAGACCGGGGGCCGGGGCTCAGCGCGCACCGGCGGGTTTCCAATCCAAAGGGGATTCGAATGTTGGCAGGTAACGTTTTGAATGAGGCCGGCGAAGTGCTGAATGTGTGTACAGAGCATGGTTCTCATATGCTCTATTGATAAGCCCCCTCCAACCGCCGCCCCAAAACAGCGTCGGGTCTCCAGAGAGCAGCTTGGGCAACGCCGGCACCAGCTTGCTCAGCCGGGAGTTCCTAGTGCATCTTCTACCCTTTGCTCAAACACAGCTTGGACTAAAAAATGGAAACGACAAAAAAAGACAACCTAGAACAGGATGCGTCCCCAACTGACATGGGCACACACACACACACACACACACACACACACGCGCGATTCAGTGTAGATAGCTAGTTTTACATAACAGAGGTTTTTTGGGGGGTTTTTTTCCTCCCATGTATGCCATAAAAAAAAAAGAAGCAAATAGTATTTGTCACAATAGACTAGAGAGGAGAGAGAGGGGCAGGAAACTGCTTTGAGGCGAGCCCAGATGGTTCCCAGTGGAGGCCTCCGCCGAGCCAGGATGGTTCCCGCCGGATCACAAATGGTCCTGGGTAATCTCATAAACGCTGGGATTGTGTTGAAGCAGTGCAGTGCACAGAAGAAAGAAATAAGCAAAATCATGCAGACACACACACAACACACACACACACACACACACACAGCACACAGCAGTCATTCACAAGTACAAAAGACAATGGCATCCGGCAGCATTGAAGTGAAACCTGGCCTGGGGGCGCGTTTTAAAAACGGCGAGCGGATTTAATTCACTTAGCGGCTGGAGAGTAGCGTGGACGGCGGTAGGTTATGCGTCGCGTGAGAGCCAAAAGGCTGTCAGATAGCAACGGGATAGCAACTTGTTCTGAAGCTACGCTGAACAACAGGGCGCCAACACCTTAAGGAGGACGCCGTAACAGGAGGCCCCGCATGAATCACGCTGCAAATGCAGGGATCAACTCTACTGTGAGTGAAGCGTTATCCGCCGCAGCGGCGGCGAAGAGCGGCGGCGGAGTGTAGATTTGAAGACGACCTACGCTTTGCTACGCCGAACGGGAAGAAACGTTCCCGTTTCAGCCGCCAGCGGTCCGTCTCAAGCAGTCAATTAGGTCGCGTTTTTCTGCCCTCCAGTTTAAGAATGGGATCGTTGCGTAACATACAAATCATTTTCGTCGGTGGGTGAAAAAAAAAACACCCACACGCCAACACCCTGACTGCACCTTGTCAAAACAAGCCACACTGCGTTTCCACGCATGCGACCGATGTTGAAATGTCACTCCGCTTACGCCGCATGATGCTGATCGGCTTCGCCGGGTTTAAGGTCAAGACTTGAGGTATTTTCTCCTCGATAAACAACTGTTTTGCATTTTTCGAACGCACAAAAAAGTTTTGCTATGATAACATCTAATAATACAAGAGGACTTGCTCAACCCTGGAGAGCGTGGCATTAATGCTGCCAGGGTTTGGGGTTTGATTCCCACCGGGACCACCGATGCTAAACATGTATGCACTCATGTTGTTGTAAGATGCTTTGGATAAAAGCGTCCACCAAATGGTGTGTGTATATATAAAGAAATGACTATACACAATAAATTACCTAGATAAGACTTAAGGCGGAAACACTAGCGACGCAGCCTAAATGACAGAAACTATCCCAAGTATCAAAATGAGGAATTGAATCGCTCGTTCCGCACTCAAAATCCTGAATCAGGTGACGCGCAACCCCAGCGCGCACAGAATCAAATAACAAAACATAGCATAACCGTTTCGTTCCCATAACTCAACCTGGTGACGCTCAGAATCAAACGGCATGCGGCGAGAGAAGCACTGCGAGTGGCAGTAAACACAAATTGACTCTGTTTGCTGCTAATGAACTTGTGTTACAATAAAGGGCGCCGCACACGCAGGTACGCTCCCTTTTGTACGGCGCCGCCTGCATACGTAAGCAGGACTCGACGCATGACAACACACAAGCGGGGACGGAAAGGCATCCATTCTCATTTAAGAAAGAAGAGGGGCGGCTTTTATGACTGCACCCAGTGATTTAGTGGGGCGCTTCTCTGCCTGTTCTCCTCAATCTGAGTTATATTAATATATATATATATATATATATATATATATATATATATATATATATATATATATATATATATATATATATATAAATATGAGCGAGAGAGAGAGAATTATGCATGTGTGTATCACTGCCTAGAGGCAATATCCAGTGTTTATAGCCTAAATGATCATTACCACTGTGAGTGTGGAAGTATATTAGTGTGTGTATGTGTGTGTGTGTGCGCGCGCACGCATATGAGTGTATGTGTGCGCGTGCGTCTGAGTGCGTGTCGCGCTGTGCCAATGCAGAGGGCAAGTATGGCAAGGTGGTGGGCGACTCGGGGTAAACACGATCAGTCATTTTGACACGGGCCTCCGCCTCTCCTCTATCTGCCATCTCTCCATCGCGCTCATCAACCTCTCACCCCGTCAGTACAGCGCGGGAGAGAGAGAGGGCGAGCGAGAGCGAGATAGAGAGAGAGCAAGAGCGAGAGAGAAGAGACCCTCCCACCTACAACCCTTCTGCTCATCCAGCAGAATTAGCCATTTATCAAAGTGAGTAGTGCAGGAGATGGGAGGACTGCTTTGAAGGTGTGTGCGTGTGCGTGTGTGTGTGTGTGTGTGTGTGTGTGTGCGCACGCATGTCTCTTGGTGTGTTCGCCTGACGGTTGAGCCATCGAGATCAAACCTTTGAGCGATGTGTGATCCTAAGCCCTAGGCCGAGATATAAGAACATGAGCGAGAGACAGAAGGGATGACTGACAGATAAAGAGAGGAACAAAATGGACGCTTTTAAAAACTATCCACTCAAGTCAGGAAAAAAACAACAACAACAACACAGCCAGCATATCTCTACCTTAACTCGTATCCCTTAAGCTTTGCAATTCACCCAAAAAAATAAAGGAAAAACCGATGCCTTTCCACGTGCGCCGGTGGACCGGAGCAAAAGACGGCGAGCGGTGATAAGGTGCCGGCGCCGCTCTGAGCCCAGCGGAGCATGAAAACGCCATTTGGCGTTATTGAACATCCATGTCCAGCAAAAGTCAATAATCTCAATATTGGCCAATACACCGTCGTATAGATCTGCTCCTAAGTGCACGCTGTGTTCCCTTTATGAGATCGCCGCCTCACTGACCATTACCAACACATCGATAAATATCAATATCCCATAAGGGCGATCCAGTAAGGCGCAAGTGGGCCACAATTCAAAATATAGCCGTTAGGAATCTTTAAAACTAACTTGGAATTGGTAGGAAATACGAAGAATAGTGTTGTTTACAGTATGTGGTTTGTGTGGGCACGTGTGTGAATTACTCTTTGAAAAGCTTTTTCTTTGACACACAAACAACACCGCTGAACTAACACAATATGGCATATAAGTCAATAACTTTACACATACCTGTGTGCACACAAGTGTGCAGCGTTTGGGTAATTTGCGGCTCTACAGTGGCAGGGACCAGGTGTGGGAACAAGGATTTGTGTTTTCCTCCTGGCCCCGTTTTCATGGTTTTGGATCAAAACCCTTTTTGGTTTAATTGTGGTCTGCTTTGTAATACAGTCTGTGTATGAGCATGCAAGCCGAGCTGTTTAAATGCGCTTCACCGTGTCCTGATTGTTTGTTAACGGGTGTGTGCAGGTGCGAATACCAAACCGCGCGCCAAGTCGTACGCCAGTGGAGCAAATTAAGGTGAGGGTGTTTTAATTAAAGCCCACAGCGCTGGCTTTGGGATTCACTTCTGAATACACAATGCGTTCACGGGCCTTACACCCCATGCACAAATATACATTTGCTAGTGGACTATGGTTTCCTCACCAATTATGATTATGAGGGGCGCTACTGACGAAGAGCTTTGCTCCTCTTCGCAGCGTACTACCACCCGGCTCGCGTTGCCGTCGCACGAGTCCTGAAAGTGTTGGCCTGTCACGGGGGCCTAATGGAAACAGGAAAGACCAGTTGGTCGAGGGGGAATCTATAAATATAGATCACCTTAAAAAGAGGGACAGAGAAGAATAAATTAATGAATTAAACGGTGAGCCTATTGATCCTTTAATAGCACGGATCAGTCAGGATGCAAATAGCGTGTTAATGGGGCTTGTAATTGGAAAAAAAGGGAAATAAATGATTGAATGCTAAATGATAAAAACAAACGGAAAGACATGCGGCGAGCTATACAACACACTCAAAGCAAAACAGAAAGATAACAATTCAGTTTTAGTATTAATGCGCCTTTATGCTAAAGCCGGTATGCTAGCCTGTATTGCTTGGCAACCATTTTGCCGTCTTGAGGACGAGAACAATTTGCTTTCAATAAATGATTGCATTTGATGTTGCAACATCTCACTTGGTCGTTTATAGTAACCGTTTAGAAACCGTTTTATGGTGATTTAGTGATTTCGGTTCTCCAATCACTGTAAATCACAGCCTCAAGTGCCCTTTTTTGTTTAAGTAGCCAACTTAAAAGAAAGGCTTTGAGATAATAACAGTGGCGCGAGATCTTCCACCTGCGGTACTGAAGGAGCGGCTCCGCAAGCTAAAGGACACAATCACACCGTGAATGATTGCATTACTGGAAGGCTTCCATGGAGGGCCTGTTCAGCTCATTTGAAGTACATGCGAGGCCACAGTATGTTACATGCGGCCGGGGTTGAAAGGGAAATGGAAAACGATTGAGTTTCCAAAGGAAATTCAATAAGCCATTTCATTGCGTTTATCTGAACATACATGAACTGCCACAGGTATCAGATTTAACAACAGGAGAGTTTAGGGAGGTACATTGCAGAAGGACAAGAAAAAGTGGACATTTCACACCGTTTCTTCCCTTGCTGCTAGCTAGCGGCGGCGGCGGTGTCACTGCGTGGGGGGTGCGTTGCTGTGGACTGCTCCTTGGCAGTAGAGCTAGCAACGGAGCTGCATCCTAGCGATGCAGCTAGCAAGCGCGCTGGCCAGAGGACATCCCTCAAGCTTCCCATGACGCCCAGAGCAGAAGCAGAAGGCTGGTGAGCACAGGCGGCCATTGCTCTCGCATGTTGGCTGTGAATCAAAACCTAGTATGGTGGCGGTGGGGGAGGACTCATGTAGTGGCTTTTTGCGAAACAAAATATAAATATTGCACACAAGCCACACAGCCTCCTTGCACTTGCACACGCACACACACACACACACACTTTAACAGACTCTGCACTGTAAATCAAGGGCGATAACCACAAGTGTAAAAGCTTTGGAGAACAAGAGGTACAAAAGCTTACAAGGCCGCCTCTGGCACAGAGTTTTACAGACAGTGCAAGAACATTAGTGGCAAGAGAGGGAGAAGGCGGGTGAAGGGGAAAAAAAAGAAATCCCACAAACAAACCGAAGGGGACCTGTAAAAGGCCAGGGCGCTGCGACGGCGCTGGGCGTTTGACAAGGCATCGATGACCACTGTGCTCACTGGAGAGAACGAGTGCATATTAAGCGGAGGCTTAGCTTTACGATAAACATTTCTCAGGTCCCAATAAATGCACTGTCAGCGCTCCACACACACACACAGACACACACATGACAATAGACTTAATATACTGAGAAATAAGCCTCTTCAGGCTTTATGGAACAATCGTCATCTAAAAAGCCTCTAGCTTTTTCCAGTTTTACTACAAGCCCGCCGTCTTTCCCTATCTGTCCTCTCATACCGGTGCCCAATAGGCTAATCAGCCCATGCACAAAACTGGCAAACAACAAAGACCGTCACGCTTTAATGACCCAAGACACAGTCCCGGAGACTTTGCATAGTCGCCCCCTTCACTAGGTTCTTATGCCGGAGGAATTACAAGACTGCGAGGCGAGACTCCTGGGTCAATGTGCTTGTATGGGGGGGGGATTAAAACCCTTTTGACGAGACCCCACCAGAGAGAGAGGGAGGGCTGCTCCTGGGTACCAAGGGGGACTTTTTTTCCGCCGGAGACGTTCAGCTTTGCAGCCGCCGATCGTGACATCCAGTGTAGGCAAGCAGCTGTGTGTGTGTGTGTGTGTGTGTGTGTGTGTGTGTGTGTGTGTGTGTGTGTGTGTGTGTGTGTTCTCTGGAGTCTAGGTGATCAATCGGGCTCAGGGGGTACCATGCATCACTGTCGGAGGGCTCTCATCCGTTGTGTCCACGTGTGACGTGTGTGTGTGTGTTCTGAGTGAGTGACTGAGTGTGTGTGTGCATAGAGGTAGGGCTTCAGCCAGCATCTCAACCGGTCAGGGCCATTAATAGTCAGTCAAACAAGCATGATGCCCCGACATCCATCCCACACCAATGTCATCTGGCCACTAATGAGCCTTCCCCCCTCCCCCCCCCCCCCCAGCATCAACAGATAATTTATCTCTGCCCTACACCGCCATCATGTCAGTCCATTATTTATATATATATACACACACACACAAGGTATTGCACGGCGGAGGAGAGGCCGAGATAAAAA